TCAGGAAAAAATTCTTTACAGTGAGGGTTGCCAAAATATGGAATAAGTTTCCAAGGGAAGTGGTGCTGTCACCTTCCTTGGAGGCGTTTAAAAGGAGACTGGACAGACACCTGGCTGGGGTCATCTGACCCCAGCACTCATTCCTGCCCAGGGCAGGGGGTCAGACTCGATGTTCTAATAGGTCCTTTCTGACCCTAACATCTATGAAACTATGACTTCAACTCAACCCAGCTGTCACTGGTTGGTTAGTTTCTTGCACATATCTCTGCAGTCTTGTTTAAGATGTTATGAGGATTCTGTGGATTGTAGCATTAAGGATAAATTCCAATAGGAAAAGGAGAAGGGGAAAAGAGGATTTTGTGGGAAAATGGGCTATGAGAGTGTTTAGTAATAGACTTATTGGCATATCAAATGGCTGGGCTGGAGGACATAGAGACAGCTGTGTAGGAAACAGAACTTGTCAACCAATGAGTGTGAGAAGTCTGTCCCTCTAACTTTCAGATATGACTAAGTGTTTTTAATATCTGCAATGAAAGAAGAATTAAGAGAAGAAGGGCATAGACAGGTAACATTCAGGATTAACAAATGAACAGCTATTTGTTTATTTCAGTGAGATCTATGATCACACCTGATGTTTTCCTAATGGAAATCTCAACAATTTTGTCCATCCTGATCTGAACAGAAAATTGTCTTTTAGAAAAATATGAAAGTATATACAGATTAGTATTTAGGAATGTCTGCAGATTTTAAAACCAGACATTTCTTGAGCACAGGTTATAATTCTAAAATTGGATTATACTAGAATGACTTGAAACAGAATTTGACTCTTTTGTATTTAATTTAGAAATAAAGTGAATGTGTGAGTGGGTGGAATTTTTGTATTATTTACACTGAAATGAACTATAATTGGGATACTCACCGATTACACAGAAAGGTTTCCTTGCAAATCTCAACCTTCCTTGCCATCCCCGGTATCGACAACAGCAGCCAGCAGACCAGATACGAATGATAAACTCCAAACCAAATACAACAATCATGACAAACTCCTGGAAAGAGCAAAGAAGAATATCTTTTACAGGTAACAGAAACAAATTACAAGAAAGAAATCCTGATAATCTCAAGCACTTGGGGCATTTATATACATACTTTTTTGTCCTTGGACACACCAGAAATCTGCCACTTTGGAGCAGACTCTAATTCAAACTGCTCTGTACATGAGCCAAGGTGAACTGTGCTGTGCCATGTGCAGTTATACAAGCAGCAAAATACATGTCAGCATGGAGAAAATGGTGGTGGTATGCTGTTGAACTGAAGCATTTCCAATGCATTCTAGTTCAAAAGCACACCACCAACATTTTCTCAGTGTTAACACACATTTTGCCGCAAGCGTCATAACACTGGGCACTTGCTTGTGTAAAAATGCCCTGGAGTTTAACTGTACTTCTCTTCCTGAACCAAGCTAAACACTTTCTGTGAGGGATCCAAATCCCAAGATATCTGTGCAGCCACACAATAAACAGTCTCCAGAGTTCCCTTATTAAGTGTCCTAGCCTGCTCTCTGAAACAAAGTATCTTCTAAAATCAGCTAATTAATGTGTAAGCCTTAAGGGCCTGAACCAACACTATGCATGTCAGTGGCGAATCTCCTGGTGACTTCAGAGTTTCAGGGTCAGGCCAGCTACCCAGGAATATACAGCTAAATTCAGAACAGAGTTCTTATTTTGAAGCTGTATATTTTGGCAGGAATATTCTTATCTTATTCCACAGTACCAGTATGGATGTGGGGTACTCAAAAGAGTTCAAGAAATGCTAATTTATTTATAGAAGTTTGTTAGAAATAACCTGTAGCACTTTGAGAAAAAAAACAAACTCATTTGGTCCACTGGTGCAACCTGTGTTGACTTTGAGATGTAAGGCTGGATCTAGTTCTCACTGAGGCAGGGGTGGGCAAAATCCAGCCCATGGGCCAGATTTGGCCCACCAGGCACTTTCATCTGGCCTGTGGTGACCGCAATGAATTGTGCCCCACCCAGCCCTTCTGCCCACGAGGTTGGAAGTGAGGCACCTACACCTGCCCCCAAGATACCTTTTATGCTTTGGTCCTACCTTCATGGGTGGAAGGGTTGGCTCTGCTAGCACGGGGCAGGGCTGCTGCAGGCTTCCCCAGCATTCTGCTCCCTCCAAGCAGCAGGTAGGGAAGGGGAGGGCCAGGATGGTCTTGCAGCTGGGCGGGAGTGTGAGGCTGGCTGAAGCGTAGAGCCCTCGCTCAGGGAGACAGGGACAAGTGGGTGTGAGGGGGGAAAAGGCATGGGGACTCCCCCCGACACTCCCTCATGGTGTGCAGCCCTGGCAGGTGGGGGCAACTGGGACGGGAGGAAGGTAGTGCTCTATTTGGTGCTGGTGCCTGCCTTCTGGCTCCATTCAGTGCTGTGAGGAGCATGAACCCTGTGCTCCCTGCACTTGTGGGACACAGAAGGGAAGCCCCAGGCATTGGAGTGGGCTGGGGCAGGGAATACAGCTGGCTCCAGCACCTGGGGCTTCCCTCCTGTGCCCTGTGAGTGCCAGGGAAACAAACAGCCCAGTGAGGGTTGTGGTCCTTGCTGTGACGTACAGCACTTGCCAAAGCCAGGTACTTGCACCCCCACTTGCTGCTACATCATGGGTTAGTGCGTGTGTGGGGGATCCTCACAGCTCTCCCACGTGCCTTCACATCCCCCCACACCCACAAACCACATACACAGAAACAGACTTACCATCCCCCACCTCCAGTGTTGCCTGTATTAACTGCAGGAGAGGACAGCACTTTCCAGAGCCACACACCCACACCCAAGTGCCACACAAGCCCCCAACATATCCTATGCCTCTCCACAGCCACACCCTCTCACAATCTCTCTCCACATGCTACCTCACACACACCCCACCGTACACACACCTTGGCCTACACCACCCATCTCCCACCATACACCCCCCACACAATATAAGAGACTAAGAATTTAATTTAAGTTATTATGCAGTCCCATCTATATACCATATACAAACATGAATCGTGACAAAAATATTTTTGTAATAAAATTAAAATGTTATAGCAGATATTTGATGTTTAGTGTAGGATTTGGTTTTTCTGGTTGTATGATGACAATCCCCCACCTCCCAAAAAGGAGTATTTTGGGGGGCAAGGGCAGCAGTTTTCCAGTGGCAAATGTCTGGGGTTAGCAGGGGGGACTTCCGATTCCAAGATAGTGACCAGAGGGTGGGGAACCTGTCAGGGGGCGGGGCTACCCATGTGGCCCTTGACAGCTCACCAAACCTCGTTAAGCACTCCTCCACCTGAAATAATGCCCACCCCTGCATTAAGGTATGTACAGATATTTGGAGAGGTTAAATTGGGTAATTTTTAATTCAATCTAAGTTGGGATGAGAGGGGATAGCGGGGAGGTGGGGGGGAAAAACCAGGGAAGCAAGCAGGGTCAATGGGTGGGTGGTG